TCGCTACTGGTAACAAGTGCATCGCTGCTAGTAACAAGGGCATCGCAACTGGTAACAAGTGCATCACTACTACTAACAACGGCGTCGCTACTGGTAACAAGTGCGTCGCTACTAGTTACAAGTGCATCGCTACTAGTTTCAAGGGCATCGCTACAAGTAACAAGGGCATCGCTACCTGTAACAAGTGCATCGCTACTACGTAGTTACAAGGGCATCGCTACTGGTCGCAAGTGCATCGCTACTAGTAACAAGGGCATCGCATCGCTATTAATAACAAGCGCTTCGCTATTGTTAATAAATGCATCACTACTAGTTTCAAGAGCATTGCTAAGTCTGGTGACAAGGGCATCGCTACTAGTAACATCAAGCTCATCGCTCTTAGTAACAAGGGCATCGCTTCTGGTGGCAAGTGCATGGCTACTAGTAACAAGGGCATCGCTAATTAACAAGGGCATCACTACTGGTAACAAGTGCATCGCTACTAGTTTCAAGGGCATGGCTAGTAGTGACAAGTGCATCGCATCGCTATCAGTAACAAGTTCATCACTTTTTTTGGCAAGGGCATCGCTATTTGCAACAAGTTCATCGCTACTAGTAACAAGTGCATCGCTATTGGTAACAAGTGCATGACTATTAGTAACAAGTGCATCGCTTTTAGTAGCATGCGCATCGCTCTTGGTAACAAGGGCATCGCTACTGGTAACAAGTGCATCGCTATAAGTAACAAACAAGTGCATTGCTACTGGTACATCACTATTGGTAACAAAGGCATCGCTCTTCCTAAATAGGGCATCGCCAACAAGTGCATCGCTACTAGTAACAATTGCACAACTACGAGTAACAAGGGCATCGCTACTAGTAACAAAGGCATCGCTACTGGTAACAAGTGCATCACCACTAGTAGCAAGTAAAGTGCCTCTCTACTGGTATAACAAGTGCATCACCATTAGTAACAAGGGCATCGCTACTGGTAACAAGTGCATCGCTACTAGTAGCAAGTGCATCACTATTAGTAACAAGTGCATGTCTACTGGTAACATGCGCATCACTACTAGTATCAAGTGCATTTCTACTGGTACAACAAGTGCATCACAAGCAACAAGGGCATCACTATTGTTAACAAGAGCGTCCCTATTAGTAACAAGTGCATCGCTATTAGTAACAAGTGCATCGCTATGAGTAACAAGTGCATCGCTATGAGTAACAAG